CACCAGCAGCTGAGGCGATGGTTTGGATGGCGTCCTGGAGAGGGTGTTTGGGAACAGCGGAGGCTGCTGTGACCATAAGGAACGTTACAAAGAGTTCTTCAGACATCGTGCTGTGGCTCGAGTCGGGGTCTGCCACACAACCAAGTTTTGTGACTAATGACAATAAGTATGAACAGTACTATGGCGAATGGTATATCGAGCGAAAGTCCTTGAGGTGTATCTCGTTCAAGGTAGTTCCCTTTAGGTAGTATTCCAGGATATCACCTTTGATCCTGAAAGAAAGCACAAAGTCGTCCGGTCTTGGATACAATCCAAGCCTCGGTGATAGCTCTTGGCATCCTTCCAGAACTTGAGGTGATCCACACTCCTTTTCCTTTATAAGTTTGGAGAACGTGCGTCTGTGTCCCAAGGCTGGGGTGTTTAATTACAACGGTGTCCCTAGGAGCATATTTGGAGTCCTTCGGTGGTGTGTTTTGGGCTGGAGAGGCTCTTCCTGTGAGAGAGAATCCTCTACTGTTAGAGCTACCCAGAGGGCTTTGCCGGTTGTTCAGCCACTGAACTATGACGTCTCGTCTGTCTCCCCATATACCATCTGTGGGCTTTAAGCGGTGCTTTAGCAACCCATTCCATCTCTCAATTATGCCGTTGGACTGGGGTCGGTACGGGAGGTGAAAGGTCCACTGAACTCCGTTCTGGAGGGCCCACTCCTGAACTAGTTTATTCTTAATGTGAGCCATTATCTGATTGCATTTCTTGGGGTGTTGGGACGAGTGCTGTTAAGCGGTTTAGTCCCATGATGGTTGACAACCCCGTTGCCAATCGGGTCGGGTAGGCAAAGCCGATTCCTGAGACAATCTCCACTCCAGTCAAAACATACTTCCATCTTTGTCTGGTGGAGGGTGTGACGGAGCGTTGGGGTTTCCCCGTCTCCTGCACTCCCGTAGTGGCACGAACAGATTCCACCAGCCAGTCGAATAGAGGGAGTTTATTGCTTCTCCAGGATACAGCATAGCACAGCACAGATCTGTGCTGTAATCTGGTTACAGGGCAGGCCTAGGATGCCTCAGCCCCCCTTGAGATGGGGGAGACTGGGCCCCTAAATTCCAGCCCCTTCCCTAGGCTGTCTCCTCCATGATCCCAGACAGAAACTAAAGACCATCCCTTCAAGCCCTGCCCCCCAGCCAGGGGCGGCATTCCACTTTCCTTTGTTCCTCTCCCTGGGAGGTAACTGGTAGAACAGGTGACCTCCCTGTCCCATCAGCGACTTGGCTGGGCCGTGGTACAGACAGCAGCCAGGGGGGTCACCTACAGCCCCAGCCTAGCAACCAGCAAGGTACCCACACTACGTCACAGAGGGTAATGGGCCAATGTGATCAATTTGCCAGGTTGCACATAGTGTTTTTCCCTCTTGTATTCTGGCAAACCGCTGTCCCTTGTTAATGTGTTTTCAGGTCTCTGCACAAAGAGCACAGGCTTGTACTAAGTCTCTAGCTTGCTGATGGGTAATAGGCCACCCCCTGATATGTGCCTGCCTCACCAGTTCCTCACTCCCTGTATGCCCCAGGGTCTCGTGTAGCCATGTGTATAAGCGTTCCCAATCCACCTGGGTGGCAGAGATCTGGGCTATCGCATCGGCTAAGTTATTTAAATGGGCAGCCGGAGTGTTGTTCGGTTGGCGGGCTGACACGTGACCTATGCTTAGGGTTAGTTGGGTTACATGGTGATAGATCCATTCCCAGTATTCTAATCCCCAGACTGGTTTTCCCCCATCATCCAGTGGTTATTTCTCCAATTAGTTATCCACGGGGTGGCTCCAGCCCGTACAGCATAGGAGTCTGTGTAAATAGTGCTAGCACCTGCCTCCGAGGCCAGCTTAATTGCCGCTAATTCCGCGAGCTGGGCGGATCCCTCTATATCAGTAGTCAGAGGCATGGCAGAGTTATCAGCTGGGACTGCTGCAGCCCTTCCTTTCCACATTCCCTTTATCAGTGTAGCACTGCCATCTGTAAACCAAACTTCCTCAGGGCGAGACGTATCAAATGGAGCGCGTCTCGGATAGGAGATGGTTGTGGGGGTAGGTGATATTCGTTGGGCATTCCCACCTTCCACAAAGATTCTTTAATCGTGATGGGGTTTTGTGCGGTGTCTGCACCACCTACGCTGTGGTGTATGTAAAGCGCCCACTTTTGAACGGTCATTTTCTGTGCTACACCAGATGGTAGTTCTTTCCCTTCCAATATAGGTTTAATAATTGGAAGAGGAGTGTGACTGGTTACATTCCAGGTCTGCGTTAACTCCTCGGTCTCCCTTAAAGCCGTGTAGGCTGCCAGGAGCACCTTCTCATGTGGAGTGTAATTTGCCTGCGACCCGTGCCACGACTTAGAGCCGAATTGTATGGGGCATCGGGGTGCAGTTTCACTTTCCTGCCAGAGGGCAAAGGACATTCCTGCACCTCCTATGGTGAGGTATAGGTGAAACGGGGCATCGGGATGGATTGGACCCAGAGCTTGATGTGTGTGTATCTCGTTTATTAGCTGCCGCAAAGCTTCCTCACGTGCTGGGGTCCATTTCCAAATGGCACTTTTCTTGAATAGGTTGTACAGCGGTTGGGCAATCACAGCAAAGCCGGGCACATGCTTCCTCCAAAAGCCCAAAACCCCTAATGTTTGTCTCAATTGGGCTTTGCTCTCTGGTGACGGTGCCTGGCTGAGTTCCTGTACTGATCCATCAGGCCCCGGTCTCCGCCCTCCCATCCATATAGTGCCAAGAAATTTTACTTCATGGGAGGGGCCTTGGCATTTGTCAGGGGGTAAATCTAAGCCAAGGTCTTCCAGGGCTGTCCTTACTCGATTTACAGCCTCCTGCACTTCCTCGGAGGTGTCTCCCCCTATCAAGATGTCATCTATGTATTGTAGGATTTGGACGCTCGGCAGCATAGTTAAACCGTCCAAAACCTTTGATAGCGCCCCATGGCAAATTGTGGGGGAATGTTCGTACCCCTGTGGCATACGCGTGAAGGTATATGGAACACCCTTCCATGTGAAGGCAAATCTGTCCCTATCTGCGGGTTGCAGGGGAACCATGAGAAACGTGTCCTTCACATCTAGCACAGCTAGCCACTGTTTGTTCCAGGTTTGTATGCTGTTCACTATGTCTACTATGTTGGGGACTGCTGCTGTTAAAGGGCCAGTGTTCCTATTTAACTTCCTGTAATCTATTGTGAGTCTCCATTTACCATTAGGTTTCTTAACTGGCCATACTGGTGAATGGTACAGGGAGTGTGTCTGAATTAATATTCCCCGTTTCTCCCGGTCTCTGATTAGCTCTGTGACAGGAGTTATAGCTTTAGCTGGAACGTTGTATTGTTGTGCTTCCCCCAAGCCTGCCAGGATGTGGGGCAGGGGTGGAACAGGTACAGGGTTACCCAAGCCCTTGCCTGGCACTCCAGGTCCCCTTAACGAGTCCTCTGTGTTGAGTGAATGCACTTAGAGTGGCTTGGAATGAGAACACATTGGGAAGGGTTGCAAGTGCTTTGGACCACAAGCTAAATACTACAGTGTAAAAACTCCTGCAAAAAAGCAAACCTCATGTAATCAAGACACATGGCATAATTTGTGTGCTGTCCTCCATGCTGATTAATCCTTAACCGGAGCACTGGGAGAGAAGCCTGAAACACGAGGACAATCCCTGCACCTATAGAAAGGTGCTAGATCTGGTATTAGCATTTTGCAATCGCAGTTTCTTACACACTATGTAACTGCGCCTGAGTAACAGAGTTTCTTACAGGAGCAGTTCCTTACTCCTGCAAATGAGAAACTGCCCCCAGCAGCACATTGCTACAGGGCACAGCTCTGGCCACAGCGCTGTATGGAACTGCTCTATGGAACTGCTCGCTGCAGGATTGCGCTACTTCTGGGAGCAGTTCCTTACAGGCCCATTTCCTTAGGATCGCACGAACGGAGAAGTGCGACTGGCAGCACATTGCTACAGGGAGCAGTTCTCGCGGGTACGTTTTGCCCTGGGGGGAAATAAAACCTCTGCCCCCCCTTGTGCCTCCCCCTCTGCACACTGGCAGGTGGCTCATCCCCCGGGTAACTGTTACCCCCTTTGTCCCTCCCTGGCTGGGGGCAA